CACGGTCATCATTGTTCCAGATATCAGCCATGACTTCCCTCATTACATCAAACATTGGAAATTAATTCACTTCACTGCTGTTCACTTCAGGAAAAATGAACCCCCAAAGTTGAACAATATCTAATGGTCCATATTTTGAGGAACCTACCATCTGCTCATCAACTCACAGATGCATGCGTTTTGTCAGATAATACAAGAAACATTTTCAAATACGTTTTCAAATATTTGTAAGAACATATCACCCTTAATTGCCTTTATTTAAGGGCACCAGTCACTCTACAGGCTGAAAATGAACGTGACTGATCAAAGCGGGATGAGTGAGCTGCAAGTCGTAATTTTGATTGGACAATACTAAAACATTAATATTCTTGAATTAATCAAAGCATGGTCTGTGATAAAAAGTCGTGTTGTTGGAAGGAATTCTCTGAAAATTTTCCTTTTCTGCCAAGCTTTAAACTTCGAAGTTTGTGAAGATCTTCGTCCCAAATAAAAAATGCAACACTTTGTCAGAAGGGAGTGGCTTGAATTGGAGTATGAAATAAAATGGGAACAGATTAACGTTCTGCAGGTACACTTCTCCAATAGGGTTGTGCAAAATGCACTGCATGTATGTCACCCAAACCCACAATGCATTGCGAACGTCAAAAAGGTTTATTTAGTAGGCCTACAAAGAAATCACAGTTTGCTGTGCATTACACATCACAAAAAAGTGTCCCAAAACATCTCAAAATATCCCTTTTTTACATTTAAATAAGTATTTCTTTTTTTAAGATGTATTTTTGCATTGGGGATATGTTAATTTATATATTTACCCAACATAAGGGCAAAACCCGTTATATAAATTAACATCTCCTCAACACAAAAATACATCTTGAAAATAGTTCGCGGTACCCACTGCTTCACCTGACTCGGACCGGTCAGCCGACTCCGGCAAGCTCGGTGGTCGAGTGGTTAAGACATCTGCACTAGTAAGCAAGAGGTAATAGGTTCGAGTCCCACCTGAGTAAGCTTGTAACTTTTTTCGCAAGCTCTCGGACAAGCACTGAGCATAAAGTGTTTATTAATGTATACATTGGGTAAGGGCAAAACCTGTAATATAAAGTATTTCTTTGTTCTGAAGGGATGGATGGAATTCAAACTTATATAAAAACGTCTCTTGTGACAACAAAAACAGAAAACCCTAGGCCTATAGAGCTGTTACGCCCCAACTATAGCATCAGTCCCAACTATAGTTCGGACAGTCCCAACTGTAGTGCTGCAGTTGGGCTGGCCCAACTATTGTTGACCAATGTCTGTGGGGAATGTCTCAATATTATCCACGTCAATGTGTCTCACACGTGACACAATTCATCTAAAATGTGGCACTTCATCTATTCATCTAGCCCTATGACCAATGACATGACATTTGTAAACAATATGACTTTGACACATGCTGGGCACATCATGCACACAGGACCTCTCTGCTGTAGTTGGGCCGGCCCAACTGTAGCACTCTAGTTGGGACGGGCCCAACTATAGTTGGGACTGATGCTATATAGTTGGGGCGTAACAGAGCTAACATTAACAACATGGCTAAAGCCTTATCATGCTAAGCACACGATGTAACTGCAGCACAAAGCCGTAGCAGGGCAAAAAATGACGGAATAAACAATTGTATTTTAACAAGAAATGGCAAACATTATCACTTATTCACTTAAGTATAAGAACTACTCACTTTAAGATAAAAAACTCTTGCTTCCTTTCAGGGAAAATTTCTGAATTCCCGCAATTTGCCTAGCGCGAAATTCTACCTCTTCCGAGAGATATTCTATTGAGTCTTCATATGAGTTAAACATTTATCAAATTTTGACATATTTTCTCCTGATATGTTTATAAAAAATACTCATGAGAAATTCCGAAACTTAAATTTCATTTTCTTTTAAAAATTACTGGAAGTAGGCCTACCTTCATGTGTAAATGACTTTGGAACTTTTGGAAGCAACCTTTGGAGGTCACGACCTTTTTAGAAAGTAGGTCAGTAGTCTGGTTCTTATAAAATGTGTAAACAAAGAACGATGTTGAGAGCCGCATATTGTCTGTTACCCTGACGCATCAATCACAAATCATGTGCCAGCCGTGTCTTGGGCGGATGCAGATAAGCCACTTGAGAAACGTAAACGGACGTGAACGGGTGATCAGGTATTTGGTAGAATTCCTCCTGAATTCTCCACTAGGGAGATTAACAAGGTGCTCAAATTTGTTTTTGGACCGGGATTTACTTTTCATCAGTTTCACTCAAAATTTAAATGCCTCTTACCTTTTCCACTGTTTTTAAGCTACGGCCTTGTGTAGGTCTACATGTACTTACATGACTTAGGTTAGGCAGTACCACTGCCAGCCCCTCTGTAAACATGGTAGCCTAATTGGTATATTGGTGGACATGGTAGGCCACACTGCCTTCCACCTTTTTGACGGTTTCGCACGCTTTGGCATTTTGAAAGCTGCCCCATCGGAGAACCAGATGAAACATCCAATTGCACTTTCTGAAGCAAACCTTCCCTTAAAGAAGTATAATAATAACTAACTAAATCTATGGCACAACCAGGCATGATTGTTGCATTTACCCTGTATTATTGGCAAAAAAATGAGGTTTTTACTACCATCCTTAACTCTTATCCCTCAACACATCTGCATTCTCTCTGCTCTGTCCGTATGTCACGTGACAAAAACAAACGCAGCGTATTCGAGGAACGATTGTTTATGTTGCTTTAGATACCAGTCCCGATAATTCGGACTACTCCCGTTAAGATAAGTATAGAGATGTCTGGGAAATCTGTGGTCACGGAACCACACTAATCACACATTGGAAATCTGTGGTCACGGAACCACACTAATCACACATTGGAAATCTGTGGTCACGGGACCACACTAATCACACATTGGAAATCTGTGGTCACGGGACCACACTAATCACACATTGGAAATCTGCGGTCACGAGACCACACTAATCACATATTGGAAATCTGTGGTCACGGGACCACACTAATGACACATGGGAAATCTGTGGTCACGGAACCACACTAATCACACATGGGAAATCTGTGGTCACGGAACCACACTAATCACACATG